TTCTGTATATCTAGCGGCAGATTTCTAATTCATTCAAGGGCGACAAAAATTACAATTACTTGAAATGTTATTTAAAGTGCATTATGGAATATTGCAATATTCAAATTGCTGAGTGCACAATATTTGATGAGGGCTAAGTATTAGGGCTGTCAACCGTGACGTGTTAACTCTTGCGATATATCTAGAAATATTAACATGTTAGACAAATTATTCACGCAAGATAATCACATTAACAAGAACGCAACTCCCTCCTGTAATTCTAGCGCAAATGCTGGGCTAAGAATGGCATGGCAGTGAAAATGCAGCGGATTTTGCACAAGCTGCATGTATTGCACTGACTGGAGACATCAGCAAGAAACATCACTACCTCGTAACGGCACAATATGACAAATGTTCTCCACCCATTCTTTAGGTTTCTTGAAGTTGCAGAGAAGTGGGAGGTAGCGGACAAGTCGTAAAATTGTCAGACTTCACGGCAATAATTCAGGAATCATGTTATCATAAAGGGAAAAAAAACCCTGATTTCTCTCACCAGTTTGTCATGCATTTATTTAATACAAAACCACATGGGTATTTGTTTTATCCCCCCCCCCCAAAAAATGGTTTAGTGCATTTTAAAACTGTGATTAAATCATGCAATATCACAAGCATTGCAGTTGGGTATTTTCAAATCGTATAACCATGTTACAAAGTGTTCTTGGATCACATTAAGGCGGGGGTTCCCAAAGTGGGGGTCGCGAGATGATTACAAAATTGAAAATTAATTATTTTTTGTTATCCATTTTTTTATTATTAATAATAACGTGTGCATAGACATTTTTCAGGGGCGGACTAGCCATCTGTATAATTTCCCCGCAACGAGGCTCCCCCTTTGACAATCCACTAGCGCAGTGTTTCTCAAACCTTTTCATACCAAGGCCTCATGTATAACGCTGTGCGTAGGATTCACGTGGGAAGGTTGCTTACGTAGTAGAAATCCGAAAAATAGGTTTATACATTTTCTGACATTTTCCGATTCACCGAACATTGCGTACCGGCGAGGAAAGTGCGTACGGCACTTCCTACGCCGGTTTCCCTTTATAAATCACAAACGACTCAAAATGCGGTGCAGCTTTTGCGGGCTTCACGTAACGCCCATATTTGCCTATAAATAGTCAAAGAAAAGCCCATTCATTCATTCATTTTGACTGACTTTATGAAGAAGATCGCAGGAAATGACGAGAGAACAGCTAAAAAAGACATCTCACACCGTGTCAGATTTTGGTTATTTTGGAGAGGTCGAGATAAATCATATTGTTTGGTGGATGCAGTTTGAACCAGAGTAGCAGCATGAAGGTCGGATCGTCACCAAAATAAATAAATGGTCCGAAAAAGGTTAATGACAAAAATAATACACATAGCCTTCCTCAGGCAGTGTGTTTGTCCCGGGGACAGGAGACACCCCCTTGATGAGAAACTGTAAGAAATGATCGGGGAATCCCCCCGGTGTGGAGTCATGACGACTGGATCTGAATTATTGTTGGTGGTTTGTGTCCCAGCTGTCGATCAGCAACTCTATATCCATAATCCACCAGTTAAAGGAAATACAACTAATGTGTTGTGTTATATTAGCTGTACAATTTACCACATATGGTGTTCTTAGTTTCCATACCTCCTGTGTTTTACTTATCAAGTAGGCGGCGAACCACATAAAACACGATTACACGTGATAGTAGGCTATATAAAACCATGCTCGTATCTACAACCTATAGAAATACAACACGCAGGGCCGCCCCTCCCTACAGGCCAATCACACAGGCTGCATGGGGCCCATCCTTGCGCAGGGGGTCCTGCCCAGAGGGCCTCAGCTGCTGTGCGCAGTTCTCCGCTCAGTTCTCCGCGCACCCCCGGCTGACACGCAAGAGTGAGAGGTGACAAGGGGAGCACGTCTGTAACCCGACACTGTTGCAATGAATCGACATCTGACCAATCACGGCTTTGATACGGCCACTAGTGCAGGTGAAGAGATGTCGGTGAAAAGACAGTTTCAGTCCGGCGCAAGCTAGAGGGAAAAAAAACAAAACTTGAAGAAACTAGAGCATCACTCGAAGGTGGGTTATTGTATGAGTCAAATGTACAACTTGCGAATGTTGTATAAGTCAAATTGCCAATTGCCATATTAAAACATCAGCTGCAATTCACGACATGAAGAAGGTAGTCTCTGCATAGCATATAGGCTAATGGAGATGCAGTTATTTCCAGCATTCTTTATTTAACATTCATTCAAGTATGTTATGCCTTTTATCTGCTAATGTACAGGAGGAAGAGTGATACACTGTCTGTCTAGTTGGCTTACATAACAGTTAAAGTTTACAGCCTAAAAAACATGGAGCATTTTTCCCCCTTATATTGATTTGTATGTCCATTTGCACATTTCATGGTGACGCTCAGCCTCTCCCCTTAACTCCTAACAGTCATCATCATGTCAACCACTAGTGCTGGGGGGAAACGATTATTTTGAAAACGATTAATCGGGCGATTATTTGATCGATTAGTCGACTAATCTAACGATTATTTTTTCTGTTGTTCAATTCATAAAAAACGTAATGTAAAAAAAACGTAATGTAAAAAAATTTTTTTTCACGATACTGTGTCTCAGGGGATCTTAATATTTAAGAACCTATTAATGTGTTATACCAGATTAACGGAAATAATCTCAGCTAACTGACGATACAAACCATGTTTACCAAAACAAAACACAAGTCTCATAAGAAGCATCTAAATGACCCCTGAGCGAAAAATGCTAACGGACATTGGCACAGAACTCAAGATAAAAGTACCCTTATTACTTATCGTAGCTGCACATACAAGATATCCGATTAAAGCTGAGACTCCACAGATTATGTAGGTATATAGTATCATCACTGAGTGATCCGGACTCGCGACAGGGGAAGCAAATACAGTCATCACAACACGTACCTTCACAGAGCTTCTAGGGAGATCGTCTCACCACCGTAGCTGTCAATCTGATCAAAAGACGTGTTCAATGGCATTAAAATGAGAAAAAACGCGGCTGAATCGGTGAATCCATAGGTTTTTAACGTCTATGTATAAAAAAATGATTGAATTTATAATCCATAATTCCATTTTATGTAAAAATCGGAGAGCAAATGCTAGCTGCTAATGGTAGCCACCACAGCTAGCTGCTGCTTCTGCTAGGCTATGCAGCAGTCTCAGTGAGATATAAATATATAAATATCTTTGCATTTTGGACTAACTTTAAAATATTCCCATGCTTTTGAAGACCTAGGGCGAGATGTTTTCGTTTGGGGGCTTCGTGCGCAATCCTGTGAGGAGGAGGTGGTAGCCGTTTCAGTCTCCATTGTGTTTGAAGTGTGATTGCGAACTGCTTGTTGCTTTGGGTGACCCACGTGTGTGTAGCGACGCGTCGACGCGGAAATATGTCGTCGACGATATTTTGAAGTCGACGCGTCGCTACAGCACTATCAACCACAACACAGAGAAATACTGATAGAAATGTGTGTGTAGTTGTTGATACATTGCTGACAGAGGGAACTACATTTGAATACAGATTTAAGAAATATCAGTTTTTGAGCATGTCATAAGCATGTTTTGTCTTGACTATACAACTATATTATAATAAAATAATATAGTATTTATATTATTGAATTGATTATGATTATTATTATTAGTAGAAGTTGTTTATTTGCATTAATTATATTTTAATCTTTTTGAGGCTAGTATTTGGCAGGAAATGCAGACGTATTCACCTGTAAACGCATACTGAACGACATACATGCACATTTACCATTTACCTCACTGTATAAAAAAGTGTTGATAATAATAATAAACAGGAATTATATTTGCAAAGTAGCCTACTTTGTTTCCAAAAACATTTTTTTTCACTCCTGTCGGTTGGGGGGGCCTCATCTCACAATGTCGCTTGGGGCCCCAAGTTGGCCAGGGGCGGCCCTGACAACACGGCGTCAGTTTAGACGTAATGCTGTCCTCCTGCTTACCGCATCATTTATGAGAATATATTTCTTGACAGAACATAATCGAGGGGTGATCAATAACATTTCCGTATTTATTTATTTATCCAAGTTATGTTTTTGTGTGCACTGAGGAGTCTCAAACAGGCGTTTGTTAAATCATTTTAAGATTGGCTTTAATCAATTTGTGAAAATGAATTCTTCATATATGATAAATGAGAGGTAACATTTTATTTATGGTATTATTTCCACATATTTCTCTCCATTCTTCCTTCTGCCAACGGTGTCGCAGTTTCTCGTCTCTCCCGTATTTGTGCTTAGTGCGTACGCATGGGTTAGAGTTTGCTTGGAGGACCGCACGTTTTCCCGTCAAGTTAGTATTTTATAAAACGCAAACATTGCGTTGAAACTGGCAGGCCCAAGTTTAACTCTCTGAGACCTGCATGGTCTGCCGACAAAAATAAAATAAAAAAACGTTTATGCAGCCCCAACAACAGCCTCTGATCATCAACAGACTTCATGCAATGATTCATCAGATGCATATATTAGATAATAATCTCTATCTCACTCGTAACACATATAATTCTAATTTGAGCATGGATAAATGTTCATAAAACACATCCATTGTTTGTTTTACGCTTCTTGAAATCCTAAAAAACGTTTTTGTAGAACAGATTGCCTGAAACGAAGGTGTTGCACTATCATGCAATCGAAAGTGAAATTTAAACTCGCTCCATTGCGAGATATTCCGGAGATATCTCCTCCCCCCCCCCCCACCCCCCACCCCGTTGACAGGGGGTCGCCGGTCTCTGCACTGTTATTTTGGGGGTCGCGGGCTGAAAGTTTGGGAACCCCTGCATTAACCTGTTCAACCTTTTTTTTCACGAAACTGTGTCTCAGGCCTTCTTAACATTTAAAAACCTATTAATGTGTCATACCCACTTACCGGGAAGAAACTCAGCTAACTGAGCCTATAATAAAAACGACTCTTGTTGTGATAGTGTTTACCTGTTGAAGGTCCAGCACGTCCTGCAGCATGAAGCGGATCTTGAAGCTGGTCTTCTTGTCCTTTATGATTTTCTCCATCTGATTAAAGTACTGCTCCATACGAGGCTAAGGAACAAACACAGCAGTGTGGTGAGTACATCTTCCACAAAACAAATTAAAACATGATCCAACTACACATTCACCAGCATGCAGGCACATGACTTCCCGTCACCACCGCGAAGCTAAAGGAGGCAGATAATACCAGATGTGTGTGTGCTGTGTTTGGATCCAGTGTGATCTCCTGTGAATGTGTTAAGAACCCAGCTCTGGTGGCGGGCTCTGCTGCTGACAGTAAAACCTCCACTTCAGTCGGTGAGACGTGTGTCCATTCCTCTCTCAGGACGTCCTGTAGTTTGTCTCTGACTGCTGACAGGGCCGCCGTCACATCCTCAAAGTAGCTCAGAGGACGGATGTTGATGCTGGAGGAGTGTGTAGCTTCACTGAGGGCTGGCAGTGAGGGGTAGCTGAGCAGAAACTGGTTGTGATCCTCTGTGTGAGACAGCAGCTGCAGCTCAGCGTCTCTCCTCTTCAGCTCAGCCATCTCCTGCTCCAGCTTCTCCTGGAGCTCTCTGACTCGACTCACTTCCCTCTTCTGCTGGGATCTGAGCTGCTGCTTCACATCAGAGCTTCTCTTCTCCATGAGACGGATCAGCTCAGTGAACGTCTTCTCACTGTCCTCCACTGCTTTATCAGCAGAGCCGTTGACGGCCTCCACCTCCTGCTGAAGCAGTTTCACCTCCTTGTCTCCGTCCTGGATCCTCTGCTGGATGTTTTCTCGACTCCCCTCCAGCTCTCTCTGCCTCTCAGTCCTCTCTGCTGCAGCTGACACCGTGTCGTGGCCTTTGTGTTCGTCCACAGAGCAGAGATAACAAATACACTGCTGATCAGTGCGGCAGAATATCTTCATCACCTCGTCATGACGAGAGCAGATGTTCGAACAACAAGATAAGACTTCCCGGTCCAGCTGAACTGCTTTCTGCGCCATTTCACTTCTCTCTGGCAGCGAGTGTGTGAGTTTCACTTCCTGAGAACTGAAAGTAGTGTTAGGTTATCTGAACAACATGTGTGTGAGCAGTGCATGTGGCCTATCAGCTCTTGTACTTTACCCACATGTTGGTTACACCCCTCCTCCTCAGTGCGGATCTGAAGGGGATGAGTCAGGAAATACAGAGTGGAGCTGGAGAGCAGGAAGAAGAGGGAGGGCTCATCAAACTCTGACTCGTTCCAGGAGGAGAAGTAAACTTACAAAATCTGAAGGAGGTTAAATACTTGTTTCCTCCACTGTAAATGTATAGCCTCAATGTCCTGAAATAGCTGATTGATTTACTAGTTGAATGTGCAGTCGTTTTTTACTGTAAGTACTAGTAGTAGTAGTAGTAGTAGTAGTAGTAGTAGTAGTAGTAGTAGTAGTAGTAGTAGTAGTAGTAGTAGTAGTAGTAGTAGTAGTAGTAGTAGGCTAGTAGTAGTAGTAGTAGTAGTAGTAGTAGTAGTAGTAGTAGTAGTAGTAGTAGTAGTAGTAGTAGTAGTAGTAGTAGTAGTGTGGAGTCTATTTTTATATAACATTACAAGACTGATTCTTATTATTACATTATATGCTTATTGTGCTCATGAGATTGCTATGACTATAAAATAAATAGACACAATCACTAATCCCAGGTTCTGATGGGTTAGATACCAACGAAGAGACAAGTCAGAAGAAAGTTTTAGCTTGCAATAGAAAGTAGAAGCCAGATGCAGGCACTGTAGAAACAATGAGTTATTGAGGCTATGGCCTTGGCCGCCTGGGTTAGCTCCGCGCCCACGTATAGCTGGGAATCAGTATAACCAAGATTACACTTTTCTGTTGAAGCTTCATCAAAACAAATGACAAGATGGTGCCAGAGCTGGGAGAGACTTCCACAGTTAAACATAGAAGTTGTCTGTCTTTTCTGGAATTCTGAACCCAACAGTAGTTGTAGTAGTAGTAGTAGTAGTTGTAGACTAGTAGTACTACTACAACTACTACAACTACTAATACAACTACTACTACTACTACTACTACAACTATACGACAACTACTACTACAACAACTACTACAACTACTACTACTAAGACTACTACAACTACTAATACAGTTTTTGTCGCTGCTTTTAATTAAACTATTCATATCTTAGACTGCACTGTAACTTTTATCCATGTACTTTTTTCTTTTAATGTTTAATTGACAGCACTGTAACTTTTATCCATGTATTTTTTCTTTTAATGTTTATTTTATTAGCTTTTCTTTTTAATGCCATTTTCTTAATCTCTTTCATTTTTTGTAAAGCACTTTGAATTGCCTTGTGTTGAAAAGTGCTATATAAATAAACTTGCCTTGCCTTGCCTTGCCTTACAACTACTACAACTACTAATACAATTACTAATACAACTAATACAACTACTACTACTACTACTACTACTACTACTACTACTACTACTACTACTACAACTTGCTGAGAGGTATCCATATATCTCTTAATTTTGCTCTCAAAGTGCACCAGATTGATGCCTCTAACTTCAATATTTTAAAAAAAGAGCATGCCCCCGGACCCCCCTAGAGGGTGTCAGGTCCACTCCCCACTTATAAAAATAGCATTTTACCACTGCACCCCCTCTAATCTCATTTTGTTTAAGTACAGTGAGCCTTTCTAAAATATACAGTAAAGAGACAAACCCACCAGCATTGATATACTATATGACTTTGAGCCAAGTACTTGTTTTTGGGCTTTATAAATAAATGGACTTGAAACAGTTGCTGATTTAGAGTACTGGCACCTTTTTTATTCCAATTCAAGGTATTTGTAGTTGTAGTAGCAGTTGTAGTAGTTTTAGTTGTATTAGAAGTAGTGGTCGTTGTTGTAGTAGCCTACTTTAGTAGTAGTAGTATTGTGTGTGGGGGGGGGGGGCTTTTATATAGAAATCCTTATCCTGTGCATTCACACTAAATATGAACCTGCAACTATATGTCCTCTTTAATTGACACCGAAATGATGATTTGGGGTTGAAACCTTCATTTAAATATTTTATTTTTACCCTCCAACAGATGTGTCTCAATGGAGAAGAAGAAACCTCAGATTCCTTAGAGTCCATCGAGGTGAGTTCCTCTGAGGAGTCGTCCCCCGCTGACCTCCTGAACGTCCCAGTGGCGGTTCTAGATCAATTTGACTGGGGGGGCCACTGGGGGGCCAGTTATTTTCTGAGGGGGGCACAATAAATGCAGGACGAAAAAGAGAACTAGATAGTATGAAGTAATTGGGCATAAGAAAACAATGCTATACAGTATTTCTTTCAGTACACTTATTTATTTCAGATAGATCTTATAGTTATTACTGTTAGCTTCAGCTTAAGTTATAGTACAATTTTTGCACTAACACCATATCATATTTATATAAAAATAAAGGCAATGAACAGTTACATCTCTACTTTACATAAGGGTGTCTGCATCCCAGGCTGTTGTTTCCTTCCCAAAATCTCACATTACAGCAACAAAATCCTGCGGTTTTTGGCAAACCGATCAACAAGTTTACGCAACAAGAGTACCAGAAATATACATTTTTAAATCCACAGAAAAGGATTTCATGTAAAAGTCTACAAATCTTAAATGTTGACTTTAAATGAAATAAAATACATGGATATAGATAGAAAACATAGATTTCAGATGTATTATTTCCCATAAGCACAGACACGTAGGCTATTTAACAAACATGAAGACTGAATACAGAATGCACACCTGTTCTGCACGCGCAATAATCAGTTTCGTCTATTCCGTCACATTTCTAATAAACATAAAACAGTGATATCTGGAAAACACACAGATTTACATATCAAAATAAAGACAATGAACAGTTACATCTCTACTTTACATAAGGGTGTCTGCATCCCAGGCTGTAGTTTCCTTCCCAAAATGTCACATTACAGCAACAAAATCCTGCGGTCTTTGTGATTTTTGGCAAACCGATCAACAAATAAGTCAAGATTCAAAGCCTTTGACCTCCTTGACTCAATACTAAGCAGACCCAAATTGATCAGTCTCTCATCAGTTATGGTGGATCTGAGAAAAGTTTTGACCAGCTTCAATGTAGAAAAACTACGCTCACAGGAAACAGAACTGACTGGGATTGCGACTGCTATTTTGCAGAGTCTGAAGAGCTCAAAAAACACTTATTTATAAGGCTCAATGAACTGAACAAGCTCCACTGTACTATCAGGTCTCTGCATCCCAGTCTGTATGTTCCTATCTAAAATTCTGCTGAACTGATGTAGCTCATGCCCCAAGTCCTCAATATTTGCATCATACAACTGAGCAAATGAAAACAGAGTTGTCTCCTTCAGAAATGCATCACTTTTGGGGTTAAGAGCTTGGATGCTATTCATCATGTCACAGTTTGTGTTTGAAACCCGTCTATTAAGCTCATTGAGCATCTGATCAATGACAGGGTAGAAAAAGGCTGTACGAAACCCGTGTTTATCTTGTTCTGTCTCCCTCTGTCCAACAGTAGTCAGTACGAAGTTTTCAGCAAGTTTAGAGCTCAGTCGTTTTTGTCGTTTTGCTGCTGGCTGTATTGCAGTATCACATTGCTCAGAAATGTTCAACACTTCATCCCACAAGTTATCAAAAAATGACTCCTGGCTGAAGTCATTCAATGTCTGAACTAAAGATCCAACTAAATCCACAGCCTTTGAAAGGTCAAGGGATGAAGACTGTAACATCTCAGAGAGAAATGTTGTTTCTGCAAACACTTTACGGAGTGTTACAAGATGCACAATGAATTCTAGATCCAACTGTGCCAGCAGACCACGTGCCTCAATAGATCTCTCACCATTGCGTTCTTGGGCTATGTCTTGCAGTACTCGCTTGAGGGCCGGTAATCTATCCATAATGTTAATGTTTCCATTATGCTACAATGATGGGGAGTTATCTTTTCTCTTACTGTGCCACAGAACAACACAAACACTTGTCTTTTTATTGTTATTATGTTTAAAGTAAAGTAACTTGTTACTAGTTACTTTTACAATCTAGTAACTAATAAAGTAACTAGTTACTTTTTGAGAGCAGTAACTATAACTATTACTAGTTACTTTTTAAAAGTAACTTGCCCAACACTGGTAATAAATCATAATTTTGGCCAGTGTTAGGGTGGCACTGGCCCCCCCTAGAACCGCCCCTGGAACGTCCTTCCACATGTGGACGCCTCTGCCTCCCCCCCTCCAGAGTTTCCTCACCCTTTCTCCACGGTAGCCCCCTCTAACGGTGCCTCTAAGCACCGCTCTGACCGGGGTCCCTGTTTGTGTCCCGTTCCAGTTCTACACCCCCGAACCAGAACCAGAACCCAGAGGAGACAGCAAGTGATCCGAGGCAAAGTGTTTTGGCCGTGCTGCTTTCTGACAGAGGATCTGTGAGGGTCTGAACCTTTATATACAGTCTATGCCTTTTTCCCGTGCCTAAGACTAAACTAAATAGTAGAAATGTGCCAATCGAAGTTCCCCTTCTTTTGCAGGACTTGAAGTACCCGCATGCCACCACTTCCACTCACCACCAGCAGGGGGCGGTAGACTTCAAATCACAACACGTTAACACCACAGAAGAACAAGCTCTCCTCAGTTCCTTTTAGCCGACAGTTTTTCATAGATCCGCAACTATGGAGGAAGCAAAAAACAAAGAGAATAAGCCGTCCGAAAAGACCGATGAGAAGGACAAGGAGAAGGAGAAGGGGCTGAAGTCCTCCGGAAAGGATAAGGGCAAGAAAGAGGAGCAAGAACTGGTAAGTCTGTGGTGTTTTTATAAAAAAACGTGAGCTAACAGACGTTATTTTGCCTTAGTCACTGTCTGCTCTGACAACATGGTTGAGAAGGCCTTGGCCATTTCCATTTCTAAATAAATCAATGACATACTGTTTATAAATGTAATACAATATGTCAATTAAACCGTCCTTAACTTTGAACCGTTATACAATCCCGTTCCGTAAAAGTTGTAAAGACGAACTCGAGCAGTTAGCTTAGCTTTAGCCTAGCCGGTTAGCTAACGTTAGCTTGCTAGTTGTTATCGCTGCTGTCTGTACTGTCATCAACGTTAGCATTGTTGCCTGATGTGCTAGCATAATGCAATTTAGCCGTGTTTAACATTGGGTAGCGCTCTGTATGACACAGCAGCTAACACAAATAAACTCTCACAACCAGAGGTGTAAAGTCACTTAGTAGATTTTAGTTCAATCTTAGTTCATTGGTTTCGTCTACTCCTTTACGACTCTGAGGTAAATGGTGCACTTTTACTCCACTACATTTATGTAATGTATATTTCGATTTTAAATCACATTCAACCCCTAAATAAGACTTTAGTTACTTGAGCAACATTAACAAGCTACTCTGCAGTTTACAAAGTCATTAAAACTTTGATAAACTCATGAATGCATCAATCATTATTAAACATATCATATATTATTCTGAAATGGACCAATCTGCACAATGACTACTTTTACTGTCGCTACTTTCACTATATTTTGATGATAATACTTTTCTACTTTCACTTGAGGAACATTTTGAGGACTTTTACTTTTACTCAAGTACAAGATCTGAGTACTTCTACGTTTACTCAAGTACAAGACCTGAGTACTTCTACTCAATTACAAGATCTGAGTACTTTTACTTTTACTCAAGTACAAGATCTGAGTACTTCTACTTTTACTCAAGTACAAGACCTGAGTACTTCTACTTTTACTCAATTACAAGATCTGAGTACTTTTACTTTTACTCAAGTACAAGATCTGAGTACTTTTACTTTTACTCAAGTACAAGATCTGAGTACTTCTACGTTTACTCAAGTACAAGATCTGAGTACTTCTACGTTTACTGAAGTACAAGACCTGAGTACTTCTACTTTTACTCAAGTACAAGATAAATACAGAGTAAATATCCCACTTCTGTAATTTGTAATAAATAGGTTACTTTAACTTCAACCATTCGCTGTTAAATGTATCTGAAACATTAGAAATGTACTATAGAATTTCTACCTGATTAGCTTCTAAAGCTAGGTAGCTCTTAGATAAATGCATGATCGTCATCTTTGAGTATCAGCTAAGTGGTTGCTGGTGGTTATCATACTGACTTGAATGCCAAATAGTTTACAATCCAGTTCAGAAAGGACCAACACCAGCTGTCAAAATGCTGGAACAATATAGAAAAGTAGTGCCACGTAAACCCAATTTACCACTGTCATCACCACATGATCAACTAGCATCTAAGAGCATCACTCTCATATCACTAAGTCAATGTTTTAATAATTTGGATTAATAACACATTTTATTCCTTCACTTCTTCTTAGTCGGAGGAAGACAAGCAGTTACAGGAGGACCTAGAGATGATGGTGGAGAGATTGGCTGTAAGTATTGTTATTTCTTTCTGATACAACGACCCTTGTGTGTCAGGGTGTAAAAGCGCTAACAGTTCAAACGATTAACTGTATGTATGATTGCAGGAGAAGAACACAGAGCTGCACCACCCTGCTCTGGAGGAGCTGCGCAGACTGATCCGCTCCTCCACCACCTCCATGACCTCCGTACCCAAACCCCTCAAATTCCTGCGCCCGCACTACGGCAAGCTGAAAGAGATCTATGAGGGCATGGCTGCCGGAGAGAACAAGGTGAGGCTCTAAGTGGTGCCGGAAAATTGTGAAATTCATGCATTTCTTGACAACTTTTGAGGTTAATCACCATAGGAAACATATTGCACATAGAGAAACTAGTTTCAAACAATTTACAAACGTTGAAATTCAAACCCTTTTAGACATACAACCAAAATAGTAACACATAGCTAACGGTAGCTCTAAAATTCTCCAGTCAGACAGGTATTCATATCACTTTTATAAATGACCAGCTACATTAGTTATTTAATACTTGGCGAAATCCAGACGGAGAGAATGAGGTGAGTTTTTATATAGGCAAAAGATTGGACATTTAATTAAAACAGAGGTTTCAAACAATTATTAAATTGCAAAAATGTAAGTCTTATCAAAATATAGTTAAACATAGTATCTACACAGTATCTATATAAAATGTACCTGTCAGACAGGTAGTGACCATTACATTGATCAGCTATATTGGCATTATAATTGTTAGCGCAATGTGGTTTCGAAACCAGTTCCGAAATTGAATTTATAGTTTTATAATATAAAGGTCAATGCAAATATTATGTATAAGCTTTAGATACTATGGATGACTGCCCTGGAGAGAGCGCAGAGAAGCGTGTAAGACTGCGACTCCGCCTCCTGCTCTCAACTCCAGTTTGTCATGGATTAAGTCCACAGAGCCCTGAGATGTTTGCCGAAATGAGATCGGCACCTTCCAAAGTAGGATGAATGCCGTCTCTCTTAATCAGACCAGGTTTTCCCCAGAAGGCTGTCCAATTATTTACGAAGCCCACATTGTTTGCTGGGCACCACCAAGACAACCAGCGCTGAAATCATGACATGCGGCTATACATGTCATCATTGATCAGATTGGGGAGGGGACCAGAGAAGATTACGGTGTCCGACATTGACGTCGGTGGTAATGATGTTCGTTTTTACGCCAATCAGAATGCACCAAAGTGAATGTGGCGTCGGTGTGTAGATATGCTAAAACACATTTCTTTTTATAATAGTTATATTTTGGACCTTCTCTTAAAACTTATGTCCTTATGTTGTTTTTGTTGGCACCACCAAACACCAAAGCAAGTTACCTGTATGTGTAAACTTACCTGGCAATACAATTCTGATTCTCATGTTCAAGGTCACCTATTATACAAAATCCTCTTCTTCATGTCTCTTCTACATCAACATGTGTCCCCTCTTCTTCATGTCTCTTCTACATCAACATGTGTCCCCTCTTCTTCATGTCTCTTCTACATCAACATGTGTCCCCTCTTCTTCACGTCTCTTCTACATCAACATGTGTCCCCTCTTCTTCATGTCTCTTCTACATCAACATGTGTCCCCTCTTCTTCATGTCTCTTCTACATCAACATGTGTCCCCTCTTCTTCACGTCTCTTCTACATCAACATGTGTCCCCTCTTCTTCATGTCTCTTCTACATCAACATGTGTCCCCTCTTCTTCATGTCTCTTCTACATCAACATGTGTCCCCTCTTCTCCATGTCTCTTCTACATCAACATGTGTCCCCTCTTCTTCATGTCTCTTCTACATCAACATGTGTCCCCTCTTCTCCATGTCTCTTCTACATCAACATGTGTCCCCTCTTCTTCATGTCTCTTCTACATCAACATGTGTCCCCTCTTCTTCATGTCTCTTCTACATCAACATGTGTCCCCTCTTCTTCATGTCTCTTCTACATCAACATGTGTCCCCTCTTCAGGTAACCCCCCCCCCCCCCCCACCTTCTCACCTGAATCTCCTCCTAGAGCACCATTGAGTTCTTTGTAACCAAACATCTCTCAGAGGGGCGTGGGGAGGGGCTCCTTATTTTCATCTAAAGTAACAGACAGAGAATCAACACTTTGGAAACAGGGCTGAAACAGAGGGGATTATGGGTAATGCTGCAAAGATCTGTTTGGTGTTTCAGCCAATCAGAGACAGGCTCTGTATATATCTGAGACCTGTGAGATATTGATGAACAACAGTATAATAGGGGACCTTTAAGTTTAAACTGTTTGTGTTTGCAGCGTTTCTGTGGAGACGTGGTGTCGGTGCTGGCGATGACCATGAGCGGGGAGAGGGAGTGTCTGAAGTATCGCCTGCTGGGATCCCAGGAGGAGCTGGCCTCGTGGGGACATGAATACGTCCGGTAAGACACGACTCCTCATCTCCAGCTAAGATTGGCTACTGGAGAAGCTGGATTGTATTTGTTGTGTTGAATGGATTCACTGACGAAATCAGTAGGAGACGCTACCCATACAAATACATATTGGTTCTGTTGATAGCTTTCAAATTATTGTATTATTATCTTAAGTGAAAGTGTTTAAATTGTACAAATCATACAAACAGTGGATACCTTTCAAGCTTCAAAACAGTTGCATTTTCAGTTTTTCATAAAGACCTAAGTGTATTGTTTGGAGACAAATACATGTTGTCCACTAAGTATAGCTGTGCAATTATAAATATATATATATTTATAATTGCACAGCTATATATATATATATATATATTTATAATTGCACAGCTATATATATATATATATATATATATATACTGTAATCCACAACCTACTATTGATTCTAGGAAGGAAGGAAAGTAGGAAGGTAGGTAGGTAGGTAGGACTACTAATGATTCCTATAGATATATCCAATTGTTAGAAGCCTAAACTCTAACTGAAAATGTAATTCAGTGAATTGCCCAGCCCTCTATGAACACAGAATGTATGCATTTTGTGTGGCTGATATTGGGAAGAAAGCATTTATGCAGAAGCTGGGCAGGTCATTGGATGTTTACTCGTCTTAAAAACATAACATCTTAATGTATGTGGAGACCATAGTTGACGACAAAACCTTTCCCCTCTGTCTGCTGTCCCCCAGACACTTGTCCGGAGAGGTGGCTAAGGAGTGGCAGGAGGTGGAGGAGAACGACAAAACGCAGCAGGAGACGCTGCTGAAGCTGGTGAAGGAGATCGTTCCCTACAACATGGCCCACAATGCAGAGCACGAGGCCTGCGACCTGCTGATGGAGATCGAGAGGCTGGAGATGCTGGAGGACTACATCGATGAGAACGCTTACGGCAAAGTGTGCCTGTACCTCACCAGGTATGTTGGGAAAACACCTTGTTTTACTTTTTAACTTTAACTGAGTTTATTATTGTTTAACATGTCTTGTTTTATTAGTATACATGGCCTACAGATATTATTTGTTGAATATTTATCTACTCACCTTCGTTGTTTACGCCCCCGAATATATTTGTTGACACCCCTTGGTCTCCCAGTTGCTATATTATGTCTGTTTATGGGGAAGGGGTTGGTGTTGGACCAGTTTAAACCAGTTCAACCACACAGCAGACACACTGAGAAGGAGAGATGTATACTGCAATGGAAAATAAATGGATTCATCTTGACAAAATGGATTATCGGTCTGGATTAGTTGTGCGTTGAAATCACACCCCTGTATGTTGGAAGTGGCTCTAGAAACGTTTTAAGCCACTACAGACATGTTGACTTCTCTCTCCCTCCTCCTCCTCCTCCTCCTCCTCCTCCTCCTCCTCCTCCTCCTCCTCCTCCTCCTCCTCCTCCTCCTCCTCCTCCTCCTCCTCCTCCTCCTCCAGCTGTGTGAGTTACGTTCCCGAGCCGGAGAACTCTGCGCTGCTGAGATCTTCTCTGAACATCTTCAGGAAGTTCAACCGTCACCCAGAAGCCCTGCGCCTCGCCCTGATCCTCAACGACGTGGAGCTGGTGGAGAACATCTTCACCTCCTGCAAAGACATGTAAGAGTTCAGGGGAAAAAGACAACGACTGCAGTTGCTGTATCCCACCTCTTGAGGCATTTTAGAAACATTTCAATAATCACTTGATGGCTAGAAACGAAGGGAATGGTTACATAACAACAAGTAAAAACAGTTGCCATGTTCAGTTAAGAGCATTTAAACCAGGGGTGGGGAACCTCCGACCTCCGGGTCGTGAGACCATTTGGTACGGCCCTCGAGGTCATTTATAAACACTCGCAAAAAATTAAAAATGTAAGAAATCTAGACCGCAAAATAATTAAACAAGCGAGTGCCTGTTTTTCCTGGCCACGGTCAGGGTCCTTGAACACAACACGAGCCTAACGTGTCATTACGTGGTATATGTCTCGTCTGACAGGGATGCAGTTCTGACAATTGCTGTACCCACAAGGAGCCGTACACATGCCGCAGTTTCTGCGTGGCTGTGTCTTTAGTTGAAAGCCCAGTGGCATCTGTTCATCTGTCATACTGATCATACAGTCAATAACTGTGTTGTTATTAGCATCTGGTTAGCTAGCTATGCTAACGGATATAAGAAGCTTTTTCTACAACCAGTGAGGTAAAGGCACATCTTTATATGATCATTATAGTTATACAAAAATAAGAGAATAAAGTAAACGGGTATAAAATACTATATGACAGTAAAAAAGTTGTTATTAATAAAGAAGAACACAGTTTGAAAGGAGAGTGATTTGTAAAATATTCAAAAAGTAAATCTGCTTCCAGTTCTGTTTCATCTGGGTGTTGAGATGTTTCCATAGAGCTCCTAATGTTGCTTTCAAAGTGCACCAGATTGATGCTTTTAACTTCAACATTTAAAAAAACAAATCTAGAGCATGACCCCCCTAGAGGAGGTTAGGTCCCCCCCACTTAAATCATGTCCACATGGATAGGAAACTAAATACATTTGCACACATCTCGTGTCCATATCTTTCTGTTGTGGTGGTCATACCACAACCGTGCATGCATGCGCGAGTCATGGTGAGATATCTGGATTATTAAGAGGTTTGAAAGAAAGGCCAAATGAATGAATTTTAGTATTTTTAAGCAGAGGTCAATAATTTGTACGGCCCTCGGAGGATTTAGAAAAAATTGAAATGGGCCTTGAGAGGAAAAAGGTTCCCCACCCCTGCTTTAAATAATGTGAAGCTATCCTTCAAAGGGGAGAAATCAATACCACTTCCCGATAGTGCTTTTAGTTTTGATCCTATTCTGTATTTATTTGGGTGTAATGCAAGTCCTACTGGGTCAAAGTTGGTCAAACTAAAGCCTATGTTCTGATTGCAGAGTAATCCAGAAGCAGATGGCCTTCATGCTCGGTCGCCACGGCATGTTCCTGGAGCTCAACGAGGACGTGGAGGACTACGAGGACCTGACGGAGATCATGTCCAACGTGCAGCTCAACAGCAACTTCCTGGCTCTGGCCCGAGAGGTAAGAGAGAGAGAGGAAGTCAAAGTCAACTTTATTATCAATCTTTCAGTTTGTGTGTACAGACGGAGAGATCGAAATCCAAATTGAAAAAGTTTACAAATATATGTAAATACACAATCAACAGACACATGTATACATATGCCCACATTAAGATAGAAACACAACAATCAATATATACAAAAATAACAGTCACTTCAATGTCTTTGGGAATGTACATTAGTGCAAGATTGTCCATAGAAGACCCACAACTTTAAGATTCGTTATGAATTCAAGTCAACGGGAATGATGCATGTGGGGAATCGGCTAGATATGAAAATTAATTACAACACCGAGAAAATGTTACATCTTTACACTTTTCAAATGCCATATTAAGGTAATTTATAGGAAGGTAGGTAGATAGTCAGGAAGGAAGGAAAGTAGGTAGGAAGGAAGGAAAGAAAGTAGGTAGGTAGGTAGGAAGGAAGGAAAGAAAGTAGGAAGGTAGATAGATAGTTAGGAAGGAAAGTAGGTAGGTAGGTAGATAGTCAGGAAGGAAGGAAAGTAGGTAGGAAGGAAGGAAAGAAAGTAGGTAGGTAGGAAGGAAGGAAAGAAAGTAGGAAGGTAGATAGATAGTTAGGAAGGAAAGTAGGTAGGTAGGTAGATAGTTAGGAAGGAAGGAAAGTAGGTAGGAAGGAAGGAAAGAAAGTAGGTAGGTAGGAAGGAAGGAAAGAAAGTAGGAAGGTAGATAGATAGTTAGGAAGGAAAGTAGGTAGGTAGGTAGATAGTTAGGAAGGAAAGAAAAATAGCTGAGATGTTACTAGAATATTATTAGACTGTTAAAAAAGAACTTTACCAAATACTTTCTAGCTTCCTTCCTAACGTTGACGTTTAAATTCTTAATCATTGTACGCTGCACAAGTTATTTGAATTTTTAAACGTCTATTTAGTTTAATCTGCACTGATTTGGTTAATCTGAATCATGATAAATAAGGATTGATGGAAGGAGATCTAGGATTACGGCACTGTCACGACTCGGCACATTTCACCTTTCTATTAAACACTCTTCTCTCCCTCCGCAGTTGGACATCATGGAACCAAAAGTCCCCGATGACATCTACAAAACACACCTGGAGAACAACAGTGAGTCCCCCTCTGCAGCGAGTGTTAATGAGATAGCTTAGCATGTTAGATGTAGCTTAGGTCAGTTTGTCATAGTGTGTTTGTTAGTTTCAGTGTATGATCAGCTTTTAACACGCATTTGTTATTTCTAGGGCAAGGTATAACGTTTTAGAAGTCTGCCTCTACATACTACTACAAATCATATGGTGTTTTATGATGTATACTAGGGCTGCACGATATTGACAAACTGACAGTGATATTTTTTCCCCTGCGATATATATTGTGTTTTTTTTAACTATATTTAACCGGATGAAGGATTTGAGTCGCGGACGTCTGGATCTTAACTGGTTGACTCATCATACCTGAAGTCATGATAATGCATGTTGCTTACCCTCAAATAAGGGGGTTCATCTGTGAAGAAGAGAAGAAGCTTTTTGTATCCAAAATAGTTCCAGATGGCAGATGTTGCTTTTCTTTTTGGAAGTAAATCTTCATTCTCTCCAGTATTGTCCTCCCGTGCCTCGCTCATTTTTTACCGGTGTTTTGATGGTCTGCAAACTAGCGGGGCGGGGCCTGCTGTGATCTGATCAAGAATGATTGGTGGTTTGCTGTGCATGCAGAGCCGGCATGTCACTCACTCAAGTACCCCTGACATGAGAGCCGCGCAAGTTTTCCTTTTGTAGCGAGCAGCAAAATAATTGTAACATGACGTGTTTGAGTTAATTCACCGACTTAATATGAAAAAAAGAAATGAAAATTGATAAAATAATAATAAAATCGTACGTCCCTGCGATGTGAATATCGCGGTTATCGCCATGACACGATATATCGTTCAGCCCTAATGTATACCTGTTTTTATTTTGTTCAAATTCAAAGGTTTTATTGTCTAAAGCTACCGTGTAGAAATGGCAATGAAAAGATTCTGACCTGAGCTCCTCCAACAATGCAACATGTATAATAAAATAACAAGTAGTGCAAAACGTCTATTTACATGTCAATAGAATATGATCAGTGTTGGGCAAGTTACTTCCAAAATGTAATGCAGCACATATTAGTTTTTACTGTCTTTTAAGTAATGCGTTACATTACAATATTACTGTCTGAGTTTTACTACTTTTATATTACTTTCACCAAAATAACCGCAAAATAATGGCTAGGTATTTTAAATGCTTAAATGTAGTTTAGTGCAGCAACTGTGTAGACCCTTAAGGCTACTAACAACTTTTATTACAAGGCTTAGTTGAATACTCGATTCTGATTGGTCAATTCAGAACACGTGACACGTTGTTAATACAGTAGTAGGCTACAGACCGCTGTCATGCCGTTGCTAAGGAGGATCAAGAAAGAGAAAGGAAAAGACGGAGCGCTGGACGTCAGATACATGAGCAGGAGAAGGCAGAGAGGAAGTAAACACTAACAGGAACACGGTATGGGCTCTGCAGAGTTTAGGGACTTGTTAGTGGATCAAAAACTGTGAACAGAGTTGGACAGTGCTGACTGCTGACTGCTGCCGTAAAGTTGTTGTTGTCGCAGTTCCAGCCGTTTTTTTCTTAGCGGAAGAAATACGATCATTTTAAGTCAATCAAATAATTTCAATTAATATTGGGAGTGGTTAGTTTGTTTTAGTATCTGGCCGTGTAATAAGTGCAGTAGGGATGCTCCGATCACCAATTTTGGGGCCGATCGCTGGAATCGTTATCGGCCGATCCGATCGAGTGGGCGGGGCCTAAATGGAAGATTTAAACGTCACTTTAAATCTTCCATTTAAAGTGATGTTTAAAACTCAGTTAATGCTCATTCACTGGAGCTTCCACAAATTATTACATTCAAATGATGTACATTATTCAAGTTTACATTCACTTTGGAGAATAACACGGGAGAGATGAGCTCTCTTTTCCTCTCTCTCCTGACAGCCGGTCAGTATCTCACGCAGCTCACTGATCCAGTAATGAGTGACCCGACAGTGAAGAATAAACATATTTAGCTTGTTCCAGAGGTAGATCAAATAGCTAAGTGTGTTAAGTCTAACTCTTGTGTGTTTCGCTCCGCTCACCGGTCCGGCGGGCGGAGCTGCAGGATTTCTGCTTCACGTTGCATTCCGCTATTTTACTGTCTTTTTCGGACACCTTAAAATACTGCCAGACCGGCGAAGCCATTTTGGCGAGCTTGTTTTGCCGCACACAGAGAAAAGTGTCATGTATTTTACGTCATGCGATCGGCATGTTTAGAGAGCACTGAATATTACCCAAATGTCATTAGTAATGCGTTACATTACTGTAACCCTGTTATCCAACACTGATTATAATATGTACAAGAACAGAATATATATTTTTTAAATTAAGACTAAATTAAATACGTTTTTTTGCGTGGATAGCTATTTATTTAAATAACTATATTGCAAGATGACAACAGGAATGTTTATCGAAGCACTTTACAGAGCTCAAGTGTTTAGCCGTCTTATGGCCTCTGGGATGAAACTGTCCCTGAGTCTGGTGGGTTGTTTTGTTCATTGATTGATGTTTTGTTGTTCATTGATTGACGGTCTGTGTGACCTCTGTCTTCCTCTCAGGGTTTGGAGGCAGCGGCTCTCAGGTGGACTCGGCTCGGATGAACCTGGCCTCGTCCTTCGTGAACGGATTCGTCAACGCCGCCTTCGGACAGGACAAGCTGCTCACAGACGACGGAAACAAATGGCTGTACAAGAACAAGGACCACGGTAAGATACACAAATGAGAGAGATGTGTAATTCAAATGCATTTTATTAGATCAGGGGTGACCATTTTGAATCGGCAGTCAAAAAGTATAATGACTTGAGTATAATACACTTCTGCTTGTCTTATATTGTACTAATTAAATATATATGTTCAAATATATTACACTGTATAATGTAATAAAAAAGTTTGGCCCCCCCCCCCCCGTTTGGTTCAGAGACTAAAGGTGTGTTAAATGTCTGCAGGCATGCTGAGCGCTGCAGCCTCTCTGGGTATGATCCTGCTGTGGGACGTGGACGGAGGTCTGACCCAGATCGACAAATATCTCTACTCCTCTGAGGACTACATCAAGGTACAACAACATTCTGTCATTTCATATATGTTCATATTTATTTCGGATACTAGTGCTGTAATATCCTAAAACTGAGCTATTAAAAATGTCCCATGTAAGATCCTTAGATATTTGCATGGCTTCTTTAACATCTTGGCAGTTTCCTGATGAGATGTTATCTACATGCCATCAGTGCAAGAAAGGCAGTGACGTTGATAGGTTCTCAAATTAAGCTTATTATAAACATTTTGAAGGTAGCAGAGTGAAAAACAATGAGAAATCCAGCATTAAACGTCTGTCTTGTTTTCCTTCCACCTCTCTTCCTCTCTTGCAGTCTGGTGCCCTGCTCGCCTGTGGCATCGTAAACTCCGGCGTGAGGAACGAATGTGACCCGGCCCTCGCCCTGCTGTCAGACTACGTCCTGCACAACAGCAACACCATGAGGATAGGAGCCATCTTTGGGTGAGGAGAAACAGCACATGTACCGGGACATGTACTTAATTAGGCAAAGACGTTTTATACAGGGTCTAGAATATAATGCAGTATATGGCTTGTTAGGTGTTCTCTACTCATGGCTATAAAGGAACTACAGCACGGTCACATGACTTCACGTCACCACCGCTAAGCTAAAGGAGGCTAATGTTGGGCTATAAAGGAACTACAGCACGGTCACATGACTTCACGTCACCACCGCTAAGCTAAAGGAGGCTAATGTTGGGCTATAAAGGAACTACAGCATGGTCACATGACTTCACATCACCACCGCTAAGCTAAAGGAGGCTAATGTTGGGCTATAAAGGAACTACAGCACGGTCACATGACTTCACGTCACCACCGCTAAGCTAAAGGCGGCTAATGTTGGGCTATAAAGGAACTACAGCACGGTCACATGACTTCACGTCACCACCGCTAAGCTAAAGGCGGCTAATGTTGGGCTATAAAGGAACTACAGCACGGTCACATGACTTCACGTCACCACCGCTAAGCTAAAGGTGGCTAATGTTGGGCTATAAAGGAACTACAGCACGGTCACATGACTTTACGTCACCACCGCTAAGCTAAAGGAGGCTAATGTTGGGCTTTAAAGGAACTACAGCACGGTCACATGACTTCACGTCACCACCGCTAAGCTAAAGGTGGCTAATGTTGGGCTATAAAGGAACTACAGCACGGTCACATGACTTCACGTCACCACCGCTAAGCTAAAGGTGGCTAATGTTGGGCTATAAAGGAACTACAGCACGGTCACATGACTTCACGTCACCACCGCTAAGCTAAAGGTGGCTAATGTTGGGCTATAAAGGAACTACAGCACGGTCACATGACTTCACGTTACCACCGCTAAGCTAAAGGCGGCTAATGTTCACTGTCATGACATTTAATAGTCTTACTTAGCCACTTGTTAGCATCTGCTGTATTTTAATTCAACAGTGGGGTGTATTACTGGGCATATTTTATGTCGGAAAACAAAAAGTATAAATATTTTTAGCTTGTGTTCCACAGACCTTTATCTCTGACATCTAACCGTAGACCTGGAACCCAGTAATGCTAAAATGCTGACTCATTCCTGCACCCCTCTTTTGCGCAGCGTCTTGATTCTTATCCTCTTGTGTTCAGACTGGGCCTGGCGTACGCCGGCTCCAACAGAGAGGACGTTCTGTCTCTGCTCCTCCCCGTCATGGGAGACTCCAAATCCAGCATGGAGGTACGGATGAGTGATTTATTCTAAGGAGATTTCTCAATCCACGGCACTTTTTTAGGAGTTTTAGAAACATTAAAGTGTGTGTGTTTTTAATCTCCAGGTGGTTGGAGTGACAGCGATTGCGTGCGGGATGATCGCAGTGGGATCCTGTAACGGAGACGTGACCTCCACCATCGTGCAGACCATCATGGAGAAGAGCGAGACCGAGCTGAAGGACACCTACGCTCGCTGGCTGCCTTTAGGCCTGGGACTCAACCACCTGGGTAAGCATGGGCAGGACTCACAATAACAAACTACACAAATACGTCATTCAAAACGGTGTTGGAGAGCTGCAGTGGCAAAGCATTAAAATACAACTAAGCTAACGTATGAGGTGAAGGAGGGAAACATGTCAAAGTGCTTTTCAGCCAATATATGAAGGTTTTTTCCTTTTTTCCATTTAAAGTGGACCTATCATGCTATATTTGAATAATATAGTGTAGGACCTTACCTATATAAGGCATATTTATACTTTTTATTTTTCAAAATACCAAACAGATTATGCATTTTAGCCATTCCTCATTTCGCTCAATTTAACACTGTCTTTGCACGGGCTGATTCTGTGAGAACAGCACCACCTACAGGCCTGGCATATGTACTACAGCGTCTCCAGCGCTTTCGAACGGCAATGTCCGTAGCTGTCTCCTCCTGATTGGTGGAGTTGGCCCAATAGCCGTAGCGCCACTTCTGTGACGTCATAGAAGTGTTCAAATCTGGATCAGTCTGTATCAGATCCGTTGCAGCCCCTTTTTAAGAGATTTGGGTACGGAGGAAAATAGAGAGGGTTGTGTTTTCTGACACTTGGTGAGTTCCCTGGAACACCGGGGACACATTATTCATGTATACAAGACGTACAAAAGCGCATTTTGCATGATAGGTCCCCTTTAATAATATAGTTACTAACATAATAAATAACCAGATATTGTTCAAAACGGTGTTAGATAGCTTAACGACTAAGCTAATGTTGTGTTTTTCTCTGTTCCCTAGGTAAAGGAGAGGCGATTGAGACGACCCTGGCAGCTCTGCAGGTCGTCCCCGAACCTTTCCGCAGCTTTGCCAACACACTAGTGGATATCTGTGCATATGCAGGTACTGTTTTCAATCATTCATTCCCGTCTGTAAAAGCCGACCATATGCAGCTGTACCTTTGCAACATCTGCTGATTTAGCTAGAATGCAAACTTTGGGATATCCATCTAAAATAGTTGTAATGTTAGAAGAGCGAGCCAAACACGTCAGGGCGATATTGAAAAATATAATATCACGATATTTTTCAAGCAGTATCACGATAGACGATATTTATCACGATATTTTTTCATGTCGGTTATTATGGTTATTTTTCAAGTTACTTTACAGGACAAGCACCTACAAGGTAACACACTCAAATAAAAAGGAGTCACAGACCAAAATACCATTTCAAGCTGGTTTTAATTCTGCAGTGAATCCCTGAATGAACAATTCAACAGGAATGTTCATATGGCTTCCTCAGTGTTCAAGTAGGTAGGCCTACACTCTACACAACAAACGTTAACACTGGTTTCTTCACCAAGTAAATGCACTCTCTTGCTAAATAAAATATTCAAGCCACAGTTACTCAGTATAAAAATTCACTTTCTGTTTTAGGCAGCACTAGCAGTGATGTAACATGAATACACATGAAGAGAGTAAAACATAACTAAATAAAACATCAATGAGGAAAAGTCAGTGCCAAACAATTAAAATGTAAACTTTAGACTTGAAGTGCCATCAAAGACTTTAGCATAACTGAACATCTGTTTCAAAAGGGAAAAACAATATAAATACCTTATTGATAAAATAAAATATAAGCCAACAAAATCAACCAAGACAATAAATGAAGTGCAATACTGTCTGAATCCTGACAGCTTGGTTCTTACTAACCGTTATCAGTATGTTGTTACTTCGGCATCATTTTGAAACGTGTATTACAATTAAATCACCGTCAAATAGGTTAATTTTGTGTAGTTGGTTTCCACCACAGTATTTACATGGATATAAGCCCCGCCCCCTCTCCAGCGCGTCCTGTTTGAATGACAGGAGTAAACACAGCTGACAGCCGCGGTGAAACTCCAGCGGTTAGGGTGAGAATATTCACATTGCGTCCGTTGTGAACGCAACATAACACAGTTCAGAAACCACTGTTCTGACGCTTTTAAAGCAACTTCGAGATGTTAACAGTATCAGGGGCACGCAGGCCATGGTGGCCGTAGGACGTACAATTATTTTCGGGGCTTCACGGCCAGACCGACCGTCATGGCCGCCGTGAAAATCCTACCCTGGTGCACGATCACGATAGATATGATATCTCTGAAAAGGCATATCGTGGAGACCTAATATCGTCTCGGCGATATACATCGTCATATCGCCCACCCCTACTTCAGGGTCATCTGGAGAGAAACCCGTCTCAACTTTCTGCTGCAACGTCACTCTGTCAAATAGCATCTTTGAGCATCCTACTGGTCGTTCACAGACTCATCACTCAAACTGTTTTCACTGTGATATCCTTCCTCTCAGGATCTGGTAACGTGCTGAAGGTGCAGCAGCTGCTCCACATCTGCAGTGAGCACTATGAAGCCAAGGAGAAGGAGAAGGAGGAGAAGGAGAAGGAGGACAAGAAGGATAAGAAGGACAAAGACAAGAAGGAGACAGCAGCTGACATGGGCTCCCACCAGGTAAAGTTATTACAATGATTATCAACCGGTTGACCACATCCTCCTCTAACCGCTCTGAAGGGATGGGTGCCGAGCCCCGGTGTTAAAGACCGTGGTGCCGTAAAGCTCCGACGTTATCGGTACTGGAGACATTTAAAACATGTCATGCGTATTATTGCTACATAAACATTATATTGCAGTCTTAGTGTCGCCAACTCCGTTTCTAATACGCAATAAGACTACAAAATGCATCTCTCCCGTCTGTGTGCGAGGGGACGGGCGGTTTACACACACGGCTGCTTCATGCAGCAACACACACACACACACACACACACACACAGAGGAGATGGCGGTGGAGAGAACTCGCTCTGAGGTGGTTAAACTTTACCAGTCTCGATGTGGACAATGCTCGTTGCCTAAAGTGCAGTAAGAGTTTAGCATGTAAGGGCGGGAACACGAGCAATCTGTCGAAACTGGACCGGATCGGGGGGATAGGGCGGTGGTGGCGAAGTCCATAGGGAGTTGGCTTGGCAACTGGAAGGTCACCAGTTCAAGTCCCTGAGCAAGGCACCGTTCCCCACACTGCTCCCCGGGCGCCGTTCAAAATGGCAGCCCACTGCTCCGAACACTAGGATGGGTCAAATGCAGAGAAACCACGAGGGGTTAATAAAAGTCCATCTTAATCGATAAGCGGTATCGATAAAAAGTAGTAGTACCGTTAAAACCTTAAACAATACCCATCCCTACCGCAGAGGGCAACTTATATGTTGTCAGAAATATTACAGTGACTCACTCACCAGACATATTATCACAAAGGTTTATAACATAACTATCAAACACCACATGCAATAGAGGGAAGGTTTGTATTACCCAAATCTAATATGGGACAGGAAACGGTACAGAGCCGTGATCAGCTGGAAAAAGTACGTTTCAAAAGGTTGCTAAAAAGATATTTATGTATTGTAAAGTAGATTTGAACTGTGGCTATGTATGCATTTATTATTATGTACACTTATTTACTTTTGTTTGGCCTTAGGATGGCGATAATTGGATGACCTTTTTAGTTTTCACTTCATTTCACTGTAAATTGCATGAAATTATGAGCTGTGTTAATTTTGTTGTAATAAAGACAAGACAATGTCATGGATGCTTTTAGAATAGATCTTTATTGTCATCATACAAAGTACAGTGACATTTCTTTGGCAACTCTCACTGCAGTATAACGGACACAATTAAATAACAGTGGTAAAAGCAGTAGCGATGACAATGTGCATTTTAACACTTAAACGTTGTCTAAATGTAGCCATCAATATATTTCTAAATAGTAGTGCCGTCTTTGAGGCGTGTTTATGAATGTTCACGGTTGTTTAAGATGTTGTATGTTTTCCTCTCAGGGTGTCGCGGTGCTCGGTATCGCTCTGATCGCTATGGGAGAGGAGATCGGATCAGAAATGGCCCTACGAACATTCGGACATCTGGTCAGTAAAACTGCTCTGGTTGTTTTGTATCCTCGTTATATTTTTGTTGAACCCTAAAAGGACTTCTCTGCAGCACCAGAAATATTCACTAATAGTTACTGTTCTTACTCATCCTCATACTTAATCTTACTCTGATATCATGGAATAAATACCGATGATTTTTGGAGATTGAGAAAAAGTCAGAATTTTTAGGTGATTTTGAGAAAAAGTCAGAATTTTTAGGTGATTTTGAGAAAAAGTCTGAATTTTTAGGTGATTTTGAGAAAAAGTCTGAATTTTTAGGTGATTTTGAGAAAAAGTCTGAATTTTTAGGCGATTTTGAGAAAATGTCAGACTTTTTAGGTGATTTTGAGAAAATGTCAGACTTTTTAGGTGATTTTGAGAAAAAGTCAGACTTTTTAGGTGATTTTGAGTAGATGTCAGATTGAGAAAAAAGCTCAAGCCAATGATGAGTGATTAACATTAAGTATTCAGAAAAAGTCAGAATTTTCAGTTTTTTTGAGAAAAAGTCAGAATTTGAGAAATTCAATTTTTTTTTGGAGATTTTGAGAAAAAGTCAAAAATAAATGAAAGAATTTTCAGATTTTCTGAAAAAAGGCACCAAATGCTCTGTATGTGGACACTGCTCAGGAACTAGTTGATGCTCTGTATGTGGACACTGCTCAGGAACTAGTTGATGCTCTGTATGTGGACACTGCTCAGGAACTAGTTGATGCTCTGTATGTGGACACTGCTCAGGAACTAGTTGATGCTCTGTATGTGGACACTGCTCAGGAACTAGTTGATGCTCTGTATGTGGACACTGCTCAGGAACTAGTTGATGCTCTGTATGTGGACACTGCTCAGGAACTAGTTGATGCTCTGTATGTGGACACTGCTCAGGAACTAGTTGATGCTCTGTATGTGGACACTGCTCAGGAACTAGTTGATGCTCTGTATGTGGACACTGCTCAGGAACTAGTTGATGCTCTGTATGTGGACACTGCTCAGGAACTAGTTGATGCTCTGTATGTGGACACTGCTCAGGAACTAGTTGATGCTCTGTATGTGGACACTGCTCAGGAACTAGTTGATGCTCTGTATGTGGACACTGCTCAGGAACTAGTTGATGCTCTGTATGTGGACACTGCTCAGGAACTAGTTGATGCTCTGTATGTGGACACTGCTCAGGAACTAGTTGATGCTCTGTGTGTGGACACTGCTCAGGAACTAGTTGATGCTCTGTATGTGGACACTGCTCAGGAACTAGTTGATGCTCTGTATGTGGACACTGCTCAGGAACTAGTTGATGCTCTGTATGTGATGACTGCTTCCATTCTGGAGAGGATCACAGACACATGGATCCTGATGTTGAAGCTCAAGCCGGGGACCAGGGATATCGTTCTAACATCTCTCATTTCTCCGTTTGTATCCTCAGCTGCGTTACGGAGAGCCCACCCTCAGGCGGGCGGTCCCTCTCGCCCTGGCTCTCATTTCCGTGTCCAACCCCCGTCTGAACATCTTGGACACCCTCAGCAAGTTTTCCCACGACGCCGACCCCGAGGTGTCGCACAATTCCATCTTTGCCATGGGCATGGTGGGCAGCGGTGAGTCTCCTCACACACATCCCATAGAAACATGTTTAATATGTGTGTGCAACAATACTGAACACTTGGAAGTGTCAGATACTTAGTTCTATATTATAAGGGCTTATGTTATATTCACAGTAGTGTCATGATTTGCACATGAGCTTAATTCGTGTTTTTCTGTTTTATAGGGTCTTATTGTTCTATTAATGGAAACCACTGCATGTTGAGAACTTGTTATATCATGAGGTGGAAATATCATAACGTACTTTCCCGCTCGGGCCACTAAAAATATTGCTTTAAAAAAAAGATATGGTCCTGTGCATATCGTTGACTTTTTTACGATACCGATACTCAACCGATACATATCGTGATACTTTGGAAATGTATCATCCCACAATTACTCCCATGAAGCGCTTTACGGTATAGTTCACATATCAAATGAATATTAAATTCAATTGTGGGACTTCTTGGACCTTTCAGTTCTGAACAAACAAAAATATGAAGAAAACCGATTATGGAATGTCTTTTATAACACATCAGGTGTGCCGCGTGAATAGCACATCTCATCGATGCAAACAGACCGTTATAGCACCGTTCTAATTAATGTTAAACCTGAGATTCCACTAGAGAACAAATAAATAATAGAATAAAGGTCATGAGATCTCGGCATTGCACAAACAAACAAATCTCATCTTTCAAATCAACATTTGCCTTCACTGGTGAGAGAAAACATCACAGACTTTTACCTTTCTAGTATTGAACAAACAATGAAAAATACCTACACCGAAGCCGGTGCAAGGCGCACGATCTGATTGGCTGGCGGATGTCAACAATATGGTGCTCACTCCACAGTGACTCGTTTGTGGAGTTTCACGTCAAAATTGACATCGTAATTTGACGGTTTGGGCCCGAGTTTAAGGATATTACGGCTCCCTTTTAAAATTAAATTAAATGTTTTAAAGTATCGAAACCGGATCTGATTTCGGTACGGTATACCGTAGCCACCAGTAACCGGTATTTTGGGTATGCATCCCTAGTCCTGTGGTATAGGTATTTTGACAAGCAATTTCGTTAAATTGTTTCGTTTTTTAACGCTTCAACAAAGCGTTTCGTGAGGCGGTTGTCGTTGTTGGATGAAAAGCAAACGGCTGTGTTTGCTGCGGTTAAAGGAGAGTGACGGGGAGTATGAGAATCAATGCCGACCTATATGCTGACGAGTGAGTGAAGAGTAGAAAATATAAAGGTATAGAATTTAAGGTTCTAATCTATTACATAGCCATTCCATGTCTAACTCCTGATGACAGGAAGGCAGAAAGCGCATTATACAAATAATATACTCATAATGATAATAGCAGACATTTTTTAACAATGACCACAATATTATAATTTTAATAAACCAAATATGAACAAATGAGGAAGAACTGATGATTCAAATGTTGTAGTAATCACTATGGCAACACATGTGTTCATTTTCTTCATTATCAGTAGATCTGTTGGACGACTGCTCCGGGCCAGTGGTTACGTGGGGGGGGGGCAGTGAGTGCCCGTAGAAACACATTATTTCTATAACGGACCCAAGTGAAGTTTTTTTGCCGGAAATGTATAATACACTGAAAACGTGTTGTCATGTTCAAAGATGCACAACGTCGCCTGTTCTTAAAGTGGCTCGAGTGTCGACTTCCTTAACGAGCTTTAATTTGTTCCATGTCCTCAGGCACAAATAACGCCCGTCTGGCCGCCATGCTGCGGCAGCTGGCTCAGTATCACGCCAAAGACCCAAACAACCTCTTCATGGTTCGACTGGCTCAGGTGGGTGAAGTCACACACACACACACACACACACACACACACACACACACACAGACTTGTCTTTAGGTAGATGTGTTTGTATGAGCTCAGGTCGGTGAAGACACACACACACACACACACACACACACACAGAGTTGTCTTTAGGTAGATGTGTTTGTATGAGCTCAGGTCGGTGAAGACACACACACACACACACACACACACACACACACACACAGAGTTGTCTTTAGGTAGATGTGTTTGTATGAGCTCAGGTCGGTGAAGACACACACACACACACACACACACACAGAGTTGTCTTTAGGTAGATGTGTTTGTATGAGCTCAGGTCGGTGAAGACACACACACACACACACACACACTCACACACACACACTCACACACACACACACACACACACAGAGTTGTCTTTAGGTAGATGTGGTTGTATGAGCTCAGATGGGTGAAGACACAAAACACACACACACACTGTGATCTCTAATTAGATGTGTCTGTATCAGTGTGTGTTAACTCTGCTCTGTCTCCTCAGGGTCTGACTCACCTGGGTAAAGGCACTCTGACTCTGTGTCCGTACCACAGCGACCGGCAGCTCATGAGTCAGGTCGCCGTGGCCGGGCTGCTCACCGTGCTCGTCTCCTTCCTCGACGTCAAGAACAGTGAGTCCTTTCTCCTCCTGATGCCTTTTCCACTTGCATGACATCGATGCTAAGATGTGTTATTTATTACAAAAGACATCAACTGTGTGACATTTCCTTAATACAAATAAATGCATTTAATACACACATAACCCTAATGATAAATGCCATTTCATTAATAGTTATAGGAATTAAAATAAAAATGTTTAATTATAATTATTTTTTTTTATATAATTTTTTTTTTTTAGTTTCATTTCAGTGTTAGCAGCTAAAACAAACATATTTGCTATTTTATGTGTTTAAAATAAATATGAAAGAGACAAGACAGGGGGGGGATTGGGTTAGAAATGTGTGTTTGGAAGGTGGGGATACTGGTGATGGATACACATGACTCAAAAGGGGTGGAGAATTTTTTTGATTGCTTCGCTGCATTAGCTCAGCGGGACTCCACCTTTTAAAAATCTCAGAGATTATGTTATTTCTTCCATCTGACAGATTACCAACTCCTTCCTATTGTGTTTGTTTCATAATGTCTCAACCAAAGCTTGTTTTCCCTCCGTGTTAATATCCCCAAACAAACATATTCACAGATACTGATATGACTCAAAAGGTGTGGAGAAATTTCCACCACAGGCCTCGCACGGCTTAGTACGGGATGGATAGGCCTTGGTAGGCCAGGCTCACTTTATGCTGCGTTTCCATTACAGTTTAGTAGCTGGGGCAGTAACTATAGTAACGCAGTGTAGGCGGAGCCGTGACGTCATCTTCAATGCGAAACACAAAACCAACACAGCCGTTAGCTCTTAGCACTCAGAGCTCACAGCTCCTCATATCTGTTCAGAAACTAGACACAAGTTAAACAAGAACAAACCACAGACTGCCTGTGTCATGGAGAATGCAGTCGCTGGTTTATTTATGTCTGTATAGGCCGTTGTTGTGAGTGTGGACGGTCGGAGCATATATAACGTTAGCTTAGCCAAGCTACATTTAGAAAAGACGCATTTTAAAAGGGTTTTTCTCCTGCCGTCTGTCTGCAGACTTGTCAAAGCATTAATTCATGGTTTTTACTAACCGGTATCAGTATGTTGTTACTTCGGCATCATTTTGAAACGTGGATTACAATTAAATCACGGTCAAATATGTTCATCTTGTTGTAGTTGCCAGCCATTCTCTCTCTAGTTTATTATACTCAGCCCGGTTGTTGGCCCGGAAAGAACCTCGATTTTGGAGAGCCAGAAAAACTGAAAAGGTACCCGCTAGCCGGAACTACGCCAAGTGGAAACGCAACCAAAAACGGGCCGGGCACGCTTAAACCGCGCTGTAGTGGAAATGCGCCATTAGAGATGATGTTGTTTCTTCCATTGGACAGATTACCCTCGCCTTCCTCTTGTGTCGGTTTCATAATGTCTCACCACAGCTTGATTTCCCTCCGTGTTGATATTCTCCCCTCTGTTGTTGTGTGTCGCAGTAATCCTGGGGAAGTCTCACTACATTCTGTACGGCCTGGTTGCAGCCATGCAGCCTCGCATGCTGGTCACCTTCGACGAGGAGCTGCGGCCGCTGCCCGTTTCCGTCAGAGTCGGACAGGTAACGCCTCGGAACATCTGTATACTCACTCTGAAAGAAATGTGTTTAGCTGTACAAACTTTAATCACTCTTACTGGGAATGTATTGGCTTTTATTGTTGAGAAATAGATGCACACAAATAGAATATACACAATTATGATTGAGTTAACTGAGTAATTGTGACCAAGAAAAGTTGATTTGATGTCTGAGGAATCACTTTATTAAAATGGAGGATTTCTGACATCCTGAAGTATGTCTAAACGTTTCACCAGAAGCTTCAAATGGTTTGAGGAAAGTTGATTCATCATTTTAAAACATGTACACGATGAATCACTTCATTCAGATAAAGGATTTTGACATCCAAAATGTAAAAGACAGAACGTTAAAAGCTCAGTTTCAACATTTTAATTGATGCTTGAAATGACAAAATAAGATATTTCGCTGATGGACAAGTTATAAAACATTTCAGGAACTAAACATTCAATAATTCTGGACAACTGGACAACTCCCCGTTTAACATGATTTTTTATGATTCCTTTATCTTAATTAATATTTCTTCTCTCCCCGTCTCCAGGCTGTGGATGTGGTGGGTCAGGCGGGTAAACCCAAAGCCATCACCGGCTTCCAGACCCACACCACCCCGGTGCTTCTGGCCCATGGAGAGAGGGCGGAGCTGGCCACAGAGGAGTATCTCCCCGTCACCCCCATCCTGGAGGGCTTCGTTATCCTCCGCAAGAACCCCAACTATGAAACCTAGACGCCCCGTAAAAAAAAGCCCAAATCTCTCTCGCCTGTTCCTCTGTTTGTAAGGGAAGCCCTCCATGGCTCTTAGCAGTTGTTGTTGACATGTTTACTGTTTTGCTGAAAATATTTAAGGGTGGCTTTTCCCTTTCGTTATCACTATAGCCCACCGTTAGCACATTAAAAAAACATACATAGTGGGGGTCTGGTTAGCCGGATTAAGGAGGGAAATATCCTGATCCACCATCCTCATGTATATGTTAGTAAATTAATAACAACTGCTAAGTCATCATCAACCCCCCCCCCCCCCTTCCTCTACCTATACCCTCAGTCATCTTTTGTAATTAGAGCATTTAAAAGTATGTATTCACCGTTTTGCTTCTGTTTTTATTTTTATTTTGTTTCGGTTTTTGTTACAGTACTGTAAAAGGTTTGAATCAAAAATAATAAAAAACTTGAGACTCACGTCGTGGAAGTGTGATGGCTGTGTTTTATATCGTGCATTAAAGGTGGGGTAGGTAATTCACTTCAGAAACACTTGTTATATTCCATGGAATGCTCTTAACATCCCGATAGCAATGAATATCTGAAGTGCTTTGACAAAAAATCCATAATAAAATCCTCATCTGTGGAAGCCGTGGCGCTTTAAAAAGCACGACCAATCATCTGAGCCGGCTAAAGTAACTGGATGGCCTACCTGCCTGTCAGCCTTCCATCTGGGCACAAACTTATCTCGTGCCCTCATTGGTCATGTGTGCGTTCCTGTGTGTTGGAGGAGGGGCTCTGTGAGGAAGTGGCAGATTTTTTCCGGTTGTGTATTTTCAAATTCTAGCGCACTCGAGCTGGTTTCTCCAAAATTACCTACCCCACCTTTAAGATATGTTCACGTTTTGTTCCCCAAAATAAAATACATTAGTAAATACCCCACTCCTGAATGTCATTAATGTGCAGTGGCGTTTCTAGGTGTACAAAACTGGGGGGGCAGAAAGAGGTCGGGGGAGAGAGAGAGGGGGGGGGGGGGAGAGAGAGAGAGAGGGGGGGGGGGACAGAGAGAGGGAGGAGAGAGAGGGGGGGGGAGGAGAGAGAGAGGGGGAGTGTCAAATTACATACTGAAGACCACAGGAGCAACACTGTGAGCGCATACATTTACGTACACAGCGTGGGGATGTCATAGTAGTATGGAGTAAAGGTCACCATCACAAAGTAATTCTTAACAATAACAACAACCGTAATGCTTTAGCATTAAAACACCATAGACTGTAAATATAAGGAAAACACAGACACTCATCATCGAGGTCACAATATCAATCGATCCAGCAGAGGCAAAACACAGAAGATCAACAAAATATATGACATAAATGAACTTACCAAAGCTGAAGGCTCACTTGAAAAGAAAAGCGGCACGGTGGTGCCTTCCATCTGGGCACAAACTTATCTCGTGCCCTCATTGGTCATGTGTGCGTTCGTGTGTGTTGGAGGAGGGGCTCTGTGAGGAAGTCTGAAGGAAGGGGCAGATTTTTTCCGGTTGCGAACTTTCAAATTCTCGCGCACTCGAGCTGGTTTCTCCATTCTTACCTTGCCTACCTTTTAAGTGCGTCACTGGTTAATTATCATTCACTCAAACCAACAAGTGCTCTCGTTCAAGAAGCTGCAGTTTGTCCAATAGGAGGAGCTGATCAGTGACTATCGGTGTCACATATTGTTCATACAAATACACAAAAGAAAAGTATTTAGTTCATAGTATCAGACAGGTTTATCACCAGGTAGGTTTTGACACATACGAGGAATTTCACTTGATGTCGTGGTGCATACAAACAAGAATTAAAAACACGGGTAGAGAACTAGAAAAATATTACATTACACTATATGACGCTTTTATCCAAAGCGACTTACATACTCAATACTGTGGCCCGAACACATACGCACAACCCACTGCGCCCCCCACATATAACAGTATTTACATTGAAATTGAATAATAAAGAATACAAATCGGCAGTAATACCAAATATTGTTGTACATTGTGAACATATATTATATTCTACACATATTAGCTGTTTTGTGTTCTAATTCGAGATGTTAATATTGCATAATTGTTTATTTTCTACTCTTTTCATTTCTAGTTATGTTCCATACTTTGTTTTTCATGCCACTGCAATTAACACATTTTCCAATTTGCGACTGAAAATATTTTAAACACAATGCAAATACTTTTTATATTGCCTATAGATATTCACAGTAAAAGTATGGAAGTACATGTAAATTACTAATAAAAAGCAGAATTAAACAAGTATATATATAATAAACATTTCTACTATTTTAAGGACATTTACCTTTCTTAGGTATCATTTAATTAAAAAAAATACTTCAAGTGTAAGCCCAATAAATATATATTTTGGGTGATTTAAAGTATATTTTTTGTTGTAAAATGTACATGAACAAAAACTAAATGTCTTATAGATATTCTGAACAAACTAATAAGAAAAATAACGAATAAAAGACAATCAAAAAACAGTTAATACATTAAAATATGAAATACATAAGTTGTATATAAACAAAAGGGCCATGGCTTTTACGGGAAGGTCATATATATTCCCAACAATAGATGATATTTAATTAAGATGTACTTTTGGCAGCAAATTACACTTTACAAAAACTGTAAAATAATACAAATACTAATACAAGACAGAATTAAAGTACAAGTACCTCACTTGTACTTAATTACTTAGAGTTAGAGTTTTTCTATGTAATGCTACTTCATACTTCTACTCCACTACAGTTCAGAGGTAAATCGTGTACTTTTCCTCCACTACATGTATTTAATACCTTTAGTTACTCTACAGATCTGGATGAATGATGTGAAATATAACCAAGTGTTAAATCAGACTTTAGTTCCACCTGGAGTAAATCCACCAGCTACCCTGCAGTATACAAAGTCATTCAGACTAGCTGCACCTTTACCAGCTTTGAGAACACTTTCATGATCAATCATTATAAAACATATCAGATATATTATTCTGAAATGGACCAATCTGCACAACGACTACTTTTACTGTCGCTACTTTCACTATATTTAGATGAGAATACTTTTCTACTTTCACTTGAGGAACATTTTGAATGCAGGACTTTTACTGTAACAGAGTATTCCTACACTCTGGTACTTCTACTTTTACTCAAGTACAAGGTCTGAGTACTTCTACTTTTACTCAAGTACAAGATCTGAGTACTTATACTTTTACTCAAGATCTGAGTACTTCTACTTTTACTCAAGTACAAGATCTGAGTACTTCTACTTTTACCCAAGTACAAGATCTGACTACTTCTACTTTTACTCAAGTACAATATCTGAGTACTTCTACTTTTACTCAAGTACAATATCTGAGTACTTCTACTTTTACCCAAGTACAGGATCTGAGTACTTCTACTTTTACTCAAGATCTGAGTACTTCTTCCATCGCTGTTTATTTATTTGTAAATAAAAAAATAAAGGTATCACGTCACGGGATCCTACCGGAAGTACCCGCTACCGGCTTCCGGGGAGATTTTCCGTCCGTCCGGCTCTGCGGACTCAAGGAGAGAAAAGGTAAAGCGACGATTCCCAGCCAAATTCTACATTAACACGCTTAAATATCCCGCTAAAATTCAAGTCGCTGGTAAAAAAACACCCTGGGAGGTCAGTCACATGTACGTTTCATCTTTTATTCCGGAGAAACAGCTCCATAGGGTGACTTTCTTCACTGGTTTTCTGCTGTGTTTTCAGGGATTAGCCTGTTAGCATAGCATCACATGCTAAAACGACGTGGGTGTTCTTTCTTCACTTTAGCTAACAGGCTAGCGAGCTAATGCTACGAAACACAGACACGATGGAGTGTATTCTTATCAAGTGTCTAGGAAACGTGTGTATTGTGTGTGCTTTGTTCCGTGTGACAAAAGACCGGTGGATTGTCGCATCACGGTGTTGTTGTTTTTGCCGGTTAAGGTGCTTTATGCTTCCAGCTAGCCGACAGTTTGCTAACTAGCTAGCTTGGCAGTTGTAGGTTAAATCTGTTCGTGTGTCGTAGTTTCTTTTAAACGAAAGTGATGGAGTTCGTTTTTTTTAGACTTTAAACACAGCCTGGCTGCTTGTGTGTATATATATATATGTATATATATATTGTGGTTGTAAAACAAAGGCATACTGATAACTAGAAACCTTGTGTGCCATGTGCATATTTGTATTTTAATGGTAATGTCTGCTTTTCTTGTTTATTAGTGCATGCCTTTTAATTTTTTTTACCTGCTATACCACCTTTGCTTTAATACTGTTCATATCCCCGCCGTGGGACTAATACAGGACATCTGATTAATTATGATGGCTATGTAATGATGGTACTAGCAGTCTGAAACAATACGTCTTAAAGGGGGAAATATATCAATACCACAGTATAGTTCTGCTCCTGAGCCAAACACACGATAAGTTACTCCTCTCAGATAATAAGAAAGACATGTGTTGTCAAATATTAAGTGTCAATTTTAAGGAGCTATAAGAGGGTGGATTATTGACAGGTCAGGTGAAGCTACTGACACATAGGGCCATGCTATATCTCTTGATGTAAGCAGCTTTAATTGAAGCTATGCTACTTAGAAATATGTTAACAAATCGTGGTTATTCCCATCAGGACACCATGTACTGCACGCAGGTTGTGATGTTGCTGTAGATATTTTTGCTGCATGAAACGTAGGTGTCTGACTCATCGTGGTCTTTTACTGTAACAATACTCATTATTGTCACGACACATTGACAGCATTGCCTTCTGTGTTTATACCAATTTAAATGAAGCTTTTTGAGCATACCTAGTTGCTCTTTTGTGAGTAGCATTTCGAGCTAATAACCGGTAGTAGCCAGCCCCCACCCCCTTTAGCTTTGGTAGTTATCCCATTCATTCCCACGATTATCACGTCTCCTTTTTCATCGCCGACTGCTTTACATTGTCCTGTGTTTAGTAGGGTAGTGGGTTGTTTTTATTGCATGTCAGGGGGTTGTCAGTTGAGGCGTGGCTGGCATGAAGCCGGCGATCTGGGCGTGCATCGCGCCAATAGCAGGAGACACCACGTGGTAAACCCAGATTGGGCCTAGCACAGTTAGCAACGTGGCTAACCGCAGAACATCTTCGACACACACACATTTGTAATCGGCTTTTTGGCATGACAGAGCATTACAAGAGGCGTGTGTTTATTACAAATGGCATGCAAATAACTGTCGTAGATTGTGTGTGTGTAGACGTGCAGACACGCCCCTGTGTTATGGACAACGTGTCCTGCGCTGGCGTGTTGCAAATGCATGTTTAGTTTAATGTGGAAGTTGTTTTATTACTTTTGTCAGGAGGGCGACATTGCTTGTGTTTTTAAAATGAGGTTTCATCGCTTCTCATCCTGCTCTCTGCAGCAGACATGAGACCCTATCTGAGCATGTGGGGCCAAAATGGATGCAGTCTCATTGGGCCCCACATAGGCAGATACCCTTACCCACACATATATATTATTTGCCTTGTTTTAGCACAGGAGAATATAAGGCTGTGATGTCCAGAGGTGGACTCGGGTCTAATTACAAGTATTTACATCGGATACGTTTGATTTGATATACTTTATTGATCACAAATTAGATTGTGTTTTAGTACAGCAGCATGCCACCGAGGCTTTGCACATGTGTTCAAATGTAATAGATTAAATATACACAAACAGTAGAAGCATATTAAACATTTTATGGACACCTGTTTTGGGATCATTATATACTTATAATTAAAGTATCATGATCCTGCACAGCTTATTTCAGAACAATTTATACTGTATTATAATTATTCGTGCATTAATGTGTTCATCACTTTAATGGGAGCAATGTGGTTTATCTTAACATGTAAAATACTTCATCAGTGATTTATTGATCTATATTTTCTATTATTATCAATCAAGTTATTTTTAAACATATGTAATGGATTACAATGTACATAATTTGTCCTCTGATTTGTATGAAATTAGAGTTGAAGTGGATGGAAATACTACCTCAACATAAGTACATATTTGCTGTCCAGTGCTATTGTCCATCTACAAACATTTTTTTTTTACCATTCATCAGCGCAGGGGAATATCATGCAGTGATCTCACGCATGTTTTAGTTGTGGTTAATGAATGACTCTAATAGCAGGAGTGTAATCGCAGGACAAATGCACGATGATTCAGATCCAGGCTGTCACCCATAAGGTCACGACTGAGCTTCCTGTTGTGAAACTCGAAGGCAGTCTGCTGGACTTGTGTGGGTTTTGGCCGAATGTCCAAAGACCAGACTGTGCTGCTTTGATGACGTGTGTCACCGCACTTAAACCCTTTTTTATTTTCAAGTTGACATGTCAGACTTGCTGGTGTGCTTGTGACGGACGCTTGATGATTGGACATTTGATCATGGGAACATTTGTCCGAAGCAGAGCCACACTGTTGAACCTATGTTTAAGTGTTTTCTTTTTATTTAAGTTGCTATATCTAACAATTGTTAGGGATGGGAACGATTAATCAAAATTATTCAGGTGTGAGAATATCAGTTATGAAACATTTTATTGTAATTATTATTTTTTGAATTTTTGGGAGGGGTGCCAAAGTTCATTACATATGATCAAATGGAATAATTCAATGTATACGACAGTGCCATAGCTAAGTGTGTTAGGTCTAAAGGTGTGTTTTGCTCCGCTCACCGGCCCCTCACAGCGGGCAGAGCTGCAGGTGCTGATCTCTCTCTCTCTCTCTCTCTCTCTCGTCCGGTTATACTTCACTCGCGTTTATGTCCAAATCCATCAGATCTAGCTCTAGCTAATGATATGGCTGCTGCCCCTCCCTACACGCAGATCACGCAGACTCAAACCTCATCTTATGCCCACATTCCAGCGGAGAGGGTCTCCTCTACAGCTGGCCTGACTGTGAATCGCACCCGCCTCTCCCCTGTTTTAGAAAAACTCCTAAAGCATTTTAAAAGTCTTTCATACCGACTTCACAATAGCATACGTTCAGTATTTTGCAAACCGGCCTCAAGCCTTGTTTATTTCGGCATCCAGTTGATCCACTTTCGTTCAATTAATTCATTGTGAAACCAGTTTGCAAATGTACACAAACAGTCCTACTAAATTGTACTTTGTTAGTTGTAAGTACATCATTAGTAATCCTCGTACTTAACCGTAGTTGCCTATTTATAAAGATGATGTCATTTAAGTATCCTGACATCATCTGCTCGCCATTAACTCATGAAACCAGTTACACGTGTACCTTTAGACTGACTTCAGCGGGAAGTAAAGTTGTTATAGTTTACAGCAAAGCTTGTAATACAAAAGGATATTCCGAGTAAGCATTTATTTAACAACGGGGACTTCAGCGTCTGTTTATTTATCCGTCTATTGTATATCGCCTCATATCCCAAATTTGCCTTTAGGGGGCTTTACAAACCGTGCCGTAAACAAAACCCCTGCAGCACTGCATAGGGGGGAAAACCCACCGAAAAACCCCCAAGTAATGGACGATATATGGAATTAACCTCAAGGAGATTAAGCGAAGAGGACGGACAGATGTTGTGTGGACAGAATAAACAATATTAAAACATAGAAACTGATAGTTTTAGCGAACTTAAGGACATGTTCTCCCGCTGTCTTCCTGAGCAGGTCATGGGAGGACATGCAGAGGATGATGCAACATCTGTAGGAGCATGTTTCTCCAGCAGTGAATCTCTCCACAGTGCTGCGTGTCAAACCAGCTCAAATAACGAAACTGTGTGATGATGGGGTGTAGCAAAACCAACACACTCCTAAAACACAGATTCCTAACTCAATCCTAACTAAGGGCGACACTGCGGGATTACAATCACAACAAGGGCCAAAAATACAATATCTGATTATATTGTGTTGCACGTCTCATTCGGTCTTCTCGTGTATGATTTAGGGCTATATCCGAATATTCGTTCGTTGGAGTACTATTCGGGTTTCAATTTCGTTATTCGTTATTTTTTTCGAATGTATTGAAATCTCCAATATCAACGTAAGAGCTGGTGCCTCTTCGGGCGGTGCTAACACTTAACCATAAACGTTATCGTTTACTTTCCCTGTCTTTATATGTAGATATGACTTTTTCTCCGTTAATCTCCGTCACGTTGTTTCCATAGCAACAACAACTTCCTGTCAACAGCGCTACCTTGTAACGATCAACTATCTAAAATAATTGTGTTAATTAAACGCACAAGGGGTTCTTTAATGAAATAATATTATAAAGGTAAACGGACAATCTACTCCTTAAACAAAATAAACGGAGACAGATTTCATGCATTGATCCATTATATTTATTTATTTATTTATAGAAGGACCATGCATACAAAAACATTAATCTCAGCAAAGAGAAGAGATGCCAGATTATAGCTAATAGCTAGTTTCCATCTGTGGTCCTCAGGCAGGTTCAGAACAATCAATACACAAATAATAACATTGCATGATCTCTATCAGTCAAAGCATTTTAAAACCTGATTTAAGTAGCTCAATAAATTAATACATAGTACACTTGAAATACACTTACATGATC